ATTTTCTAGGCCGAGGTGTATCATCAAGGCCGAGATGTTATCCTTGAACCCAAGTGATCTTATTCTTGGATTGGTGCGACCTAGACCGAGGTGTGGCACATCTAGGCCGAGGTGTGGCACAGCTGGGCCGAGGTTTTTCCGTCCTAGCCGAGGTCATAGATACCTTACCTACAAGAGCCGATGATTTCACCCAATGTCAGCATCTTGCCAGAGTGCCCATGCCGCTTTGCTTGTTAAACACTCTTTCGCCATGCTTCTGTCTGGTCTGTCAGCCACCTTTTTGAAGAGAACCAACCCGGTAGGGCCATGTGCCCCAGCTAAGTGTTAAGTCAGCTAACAGACCTAGAAATGTATCATTTTGCTATATGTCTTTGTTCTTGAGGAGAGAGAAGTAGATTCCAAGCTTGATCCTTAGTGTTGAGCCGTTAGATACGTGCTTTGAGGTTAGATTCTTGATCTATTCTTGTTGTTCTTATTAATCATCTAGCTGCATTGCATGATCTAGCATGTTTCATGAGCCATGCATTGATTGAAAGTTTGGTTTTAGAAAGAGAAAGTAGTATTCATGTGTTCTTGAATAAAAGCCTTGTTTGATCCGAAAGTTGCATTAAGTCCGTACGTGCTAGGGGACTATAAGCATTTGTAGCACAATCTTGAAAGTCCGTACGTGCTAGGGGACTATAAGCATTTGTAGCACAATCTTGAAAGTCCGTACGTGCTAGGGGACTATAAGCATTTGTAGCACAATCTTGAAAGTCCGTACGTGCTAGGGGACTATAAGCATTTGTAGCACAATCTTGAAAGTCCGTACGTGCTAGGGGACTATAAGCATTTGTAGCACAATCTTGAAAGTCCGTACGTGCTAGGGGACTATAAGCATTTGTAGCACAATCTTGAAAGTCCGTACGTGCTAGGGGACTATAAGCATTTGTAGCACAATCTTGAAAGTCCGTACGTGCTAGGGGACTATAAGCATTTGTAGCACAATCTTGAAAGTCCGTACGTGCTAGGGGACTATAAGCATTTGTAGCACAATCTTGAAAGTCCGTACGTGCTAGGGGACTATAAGCATTTGTAGCACAATCTTGAAAGTCCGTACGTGCTAGGGGACTATAAGCATTTGTAGCACAATCTTGAAAGTCCGTACGTGCTAGGGGACTATAAGCATTTGTAGCACAATCTTGAAAGTCCGTACGTGCTAGGGGACTATAAGCATTTGTAGCACAATCTTGAAAGTCCGTACGTGCTAGGGGACTATAAGCATTTGTAGCACAATCTTGAAAGTCCGTACGTGCTAGGGGACTATAAGCATTTGTAGCACAATCTTGAAAGTCCGTACGTGCTAGGGGACTATAAGCATTTGTAGCACCACCTTTGTTAATGTCATCCCTTGAACTTGGAAGCCTTGAAAGACTTTGATTGATGAAGCTCGATAGATTCGTTAGATGAATTTGATTTATCCCACGTTTTGCTATAAGCTATGATTATGTGTCGTTTTGTTAAAGATCTCGGATGTCATACATGCAAACCCTTTATTACTTGTACCATTCACTGAGTATCCAAGCTCACCCTCTCTATATATATGTAGGTGATGAGCAAGAAGGCGATGAGGCCTAGATGTGTTGCCAATGTGTTTTCGGATGTATTGCCGATGTTCCTTGGATTCATATTTTTGTAGCATCTTGAAGATCATGCTTCTTAGCTTGTATTTCATTACGTTTTGTATATGTCGGCTTGAGAAGCCTTTTGGTCAAGGTGTATTTTGTATTTCATTTCTATTGCATCTAAGTTGTAAGTTTTGTAAAGATGTTTGACATTTCATTGATGTACGCACAGCTCTTATGGACCACTTGTATTTTAAATTATTGCTTCCACACTTGTGAGCCCCATATATTTATACTCTGATTGTGTGTGAATTTTGAAAGTTGACCTTCGGTAATCTCGGATTGCTGGCCATCACGGCACCAAACTACTAGGGGCAGTTTGGGGTTATAGCGATCCCAGTTTTCCCTTTCGTGCTTAACTGTAATCCGGATTTGGTTTCGTGAGGGTGTTGTTGTCTTGTCCTCTTTCTATCCCTTTCTCTTTGTGTTCGAGCTTTGGGTTGTGTTGGGCAAGTGGGGAATAAGTTGGTTGTGTTTTAAAACGTAAAATCCTTGCCCAGTTTTTGGTCCCTCTGCTCGAGCGGCGCTTTTGACGCTCGAGCGGGACTCTGTTGTTGCTTGTATGCTTGAGTGGGGGTGCTGGCGCTTGAGCGGGGAAATCACCCATCCAGTATGTTGTCTGCAGTGGTGTACGCTCGAGCGAGGGATTGGACGCTCGAGCGGGAGTTTGTGTCAGACGCTCGAGCGGGGAGTTTGACGCTCGAGCGGGCATCTGTCTGTAAAAGTTCTGGGAGCATGCATCCGCCGCTCGAGCGGGGGATTGCACGCTCAAGCGGGGATCTGGGAGTGACGCTCGAGCGGGGAGTTCGACGCTCGAGCGGGGTGACTTTTATATAAAGCCGAGATCCGACTTTTTTGTTCACTTTTCAACATCCTTTCTCTCTCCTACTTTTCCAAAAAGCCATTTTCAGAGCTTCTCACTCTAAAACCGGCCATTCTCTCTTAGATTTGATCTAGTAGGAGTTGTTTTCTCACCTTGGGCCTTTACAAAAGTTGTGTTGATCGTCGAGGGCTATCTTTTAATCTGAAAATTTTGGGATTTGGAGCATTTCCGTTTCTTCATCTTCTTCGTTGAGCTCCATCATTCGAGGTAGGGATAACCTACTCCATCTTATGAGCTTTGTCTTTGAATTTTAGCATTTTGATATGTTGGGGGTTGTTGGGTAATTTTGAGAAAGTTTGGGCCTTTGTGTAATTTTACAAAAGTCGGGGTTTTAAATATATAAACCTATATGCATGTTAGGCATAGAGAAATGAGATTAATGTTGCGACATTGATGGAAATAGAACCTTAGGGTTGTTTTGTGAATTATGGTAATTTGCCCTAATTGGTTTAATTAATTAATGCATATAATTAATTGAAGAAAGCGAGGAATTGAATTGAAAATGTTGAAATTGGGAATGCATGGGATTAAAGAGTGTAGATGAATCTTTTATTGCTCATCTAGTTGTAATGTTGATATATTATCCATTTGTGCATTTATTTCCTGTTTAGAAATAATTGCTTTGGGCTACCGGTGGAGGGTAGTGTTGATTGTTGTAGTCAATGCATGTTGATTAGGCAAACTAAAACTAATCAATTGGTTGTGTCATAGAGTATGACGGTTGATAGAATACATTAACTTTATGTATTGAGTGATTGTGTATATGACCAATGTGTTTATATGCATTATGTGTAGACGGTTGATGGAATACATTAACTTTATGTATTGATTGATTGCGTATGTGATTCTGTGTTTACATGCGTTATATTGTGTATAGAACCTTTGTGTTTATATGCATTGTGTAGAGGAGGAGATGGGGGATGTACTCCGCGGTTTAGGGGAAGATGGGGGATGTACCTCTAAACCGGATAGGATTAGGAGGAGATGAGGGATGGACTCCGTAGATACAGCTCATATGCTTGTTTAGAGAAGTGAAGATACAGCTCATATGCTTGTCTTTGTGAAGTGTAGATACAGCTCGTATGCTTGTCTAGTGAAGTATAGATACAGCTCATATGCTTGTCTAGTGAAGTGTGGATACAGCTAATATGCTTATCTGTTGATGTGTAATATGCTTATCTGTTGTGGTATTGATATAGCTTATATGCTTATCTATTGGAATGTTGATATAGCTCATATGCTTATATGTTGTAGTAGTGATATAGCTCATATGCTTATCTATTGGAATGTTGATATAGCTCATATGCTTATCTGTTGTAGTAGTGATATAGCTCATATGTTTATCTATTGAAAAGTTTGTTTGATTTGATATAGCACTAAAATATATATCATCATCGTTTGTGAAGTATAGAAGTAGGTTATGTGTTATTGATACAACACCAAAATGTGTATTCACCGTGAATTTTGAAAATGTTCTAGTGATGAACTATAATCTCATCAAAATGTTTTGGCCAGAGTACTGAGCCCTGTTTTCAAACCCAAAGTTGAACAAGAAATGAAAAGTGAATTGTAACGTAGACTTGGTTGTCATGGAATTGAAATAAGATGTAAATGGGAGTGTAATCTATCAGTTGCTAATTTTTTTTATCATTGTTCATAGTTGGTTTAGTATATCTCTGCTGGGCTGTGGCTCACCCTATGTGGGAACATGTGGGAACATCATTTTCAGGTACAGGTAGCATGCCACCTCTGAGGACATAGCTTGGGAGGCTAGGGGCAAACATACTTTTGTTGCCTTATTTTCCTTTTGATGTATTACATGTAAAAATTCAAGCCAAGGGCTCAATGTGTAACCGAGTCAATACTCTCTTTGTAACCAAGTGTTAACTTGGAAAGCTGTAAGCCCGTAGGGAATTTACTTTTGTTGTTAACGTGTAATACTTTTGTAATGAAGTACTCTGATAAATTGAGGAATGTGGATCTTTTGTATATAAATGTATGTTTATATTGATGGGTTTAATGTTTTTTTTTTAGGGCGTTACAACTTGGTATCAGAGCGTACCGGGTTCGAATACTTTGGGTACGTGAGAAGTGATTAGGATCACAATGGGTTTGTCTCGCTTGATAGAGACTTAGATGTAGTGTCATATGTTATGTGCTTAATTGATAACATGCTTATGTGACTATGTGGGTATAGGATTTAGTTTCTAAGATGTTGATTGGATCCTTGGATTTCTGGGAGTCCTGTTGGAAAGGCACTTGATCAATGCTGTTTCTGACCGGAACTCTAGTAACGCCTCGGGACTATCATTATCCGGAAATGAAATTCGTAAGTGCTTATGTGTTTATGTGCTTACGTGGAGTGAATTACTGTTGTCCATGTATTAAGACGTGAGTGTTTAGCTTTGGCACATGTATGCGTGTGCTAACGTGTCTCTGTTACTTTTACTAGGATGCCTAGGCGAGGAAGTCGTGATTTTCCTCCTTCCGCTCGGGAAGAGTTGCGAAAACAGTTTGTGGAGTTACGCCAAGGTACTACACCTTTGGTGCGGTTCGAAAGGTGGTTTGCTAATCTGTCGAGGTTTGCTCCAGAATTGGTGGAGACGGAGGACTTGCGCTGTTTCGAGTTTGAGAGTAAGCTGCGTGACGACATTCGTGTAAGGATAGCGGGGTCTTGGCATAAAAGATATAGTGTGCTTGTTGAGGCAGCTGCCCACGTAGAGATTGCGGTGCTAGCAATGGGGCAGGGTGGGGAGGGAGCCATCTCGACAACTCCCGTGACTCAGGGTGTTGATAGGCCCTTTAAGAGGCAGAGGGGTTTAAACCCGCAACAGGGAGGTCGGGCTAGAACTACCCTTCTAGTGTCGGATTTGGGTTCGGGAGAATGTAAACAGAGGGGTGTCTTTTGTTATAAATGTGGTCTACTGGGCCACAAGGTTTCGGGTTGCCTACAGAGGAAGGGGGCAGGACTAGCAGTTCAACCAGTAGTTGTACCACCAGGATCATTTAACCAGCCGGGTTTTGGACCGATCAAATGCTCAGTGGGGAGGCAGTTGTTGGGGTCTTCATCAGCCCAGATTCTGAACCAGTCTCGTGCTCAGGCACCGCCTACTTGTTGGATGTGTAATCAGCCGGGTCATATTCGACGTTCTTGTACTCAGCCGGGAGCTTCTTTAGGGGTTTTGCAACCTAGCCAGGCTCAGTTTCATTCAACTGAGCAGGAACAGTATCGTTTTGGGTCAACCTAGCATACGCAATGCTATGAAATGAAATGCATACACAATGCACAATGGACTTACACCAACACAAGGTGACCTCATCCACACTCACATAGGAGGCCATTGATGAAAATGAGACACTCGAGATGCGTGCACACGTGCACGCAAACCGAGGACCGAACCTAAGGCACAAAATCCACTCTAACACAAAGCATGCAAGGCATGAAACATGGTATGCAAACATGCAAATTTCAGTACCGAAATATGACCCAAAAACAGTCCCGAATCATGGAAATATGGCTCCCGATGCCATGAAATGAAACCGAAATACAAAACTAGGCCTATGTATTGGCCTATAGCTTTACAAAAACGATGCACTATTTGAACATGGAATGTAAAGCTTGACATTCCATGTTCAAATAGTGCATGTTTTGTATAGCTATAGGCCATACATAGGCCTATTTTGTATTTCGGTTTCATTTCATGCATCGGGAGCCATATTTCCATGATTCGGGACTGTTTTGGGTCATATTTCGTACTGAAATTTGCATGTTTGCACTACCTGTTTCATGCCTTGCCATGCTTGTTAGAGTGGCATTTGTGCCTTAGGTTCGGTCCTCGGTTTTGCGTGCACGTGTGCACGCATCTCGAGTGTCTCATTTTCATCCAATGGCCTCCTATGTGAGTGTGGATGAGGTCCACTTGGTTGGTGTAAGTCCATTGTGCATTGTGTATGCCATTTCATTTCATGCATTGCGTATGCTAGGTTGTATGTTAGAGCATTGTGTATGCCATGTTACCTTGTGCATTTTGATATGCCATTTCATTTCTAGCATTGCGTATGCTAGGTTGTATGTTAGAGCATTGTGTATGCCATGTTACCTCGTACATCTGTATGCCATTTCATAGTATTGTACATGCTAGGTTGTATATTAGTTGCATTCATGCATATCATGCATTATGCATTGTGCTGGGGATAGGAATTAGCCCGAGCATGGGAAACGAGGTACGTTTCGTACTCCGAGTGACGGAACGTGTCTCAATTCCTGTCGCTGACACTCCGGATTATCCATGATGGAGTCTAGCCCTGTTGTGTTTATGTGTGCATTCATTCCATATTGAGTCATGCAAATCGACTCCTCGGCCATCATGCATCGATATACGTGATTGGTGGCACAGAGATCGAGGCATGCATACATTTGTGAAAATACAGTTGCTTATGCCCATTTCCTGCTCTCTGTTGCAGCCAAATCAAGAATTAGCAACCTTCCGGAGTTGGCGCGCTTTCCAAGAATAATTGTAAAACAAGGCTAATTGGGGCATCCCAATGGATTTCCGCGCAAGGCAGCCCAGACATGCATCATCCATCATCTGAGAAGAGTCAAGGCGTCCTTGGCTTGCATGCCAGTTTATTATTTTTCTTAGTTAATTTGTAAATTAATTAGGAATTTGTATATATTTGGACTGTACTATTTATTCGGACCTCTGCACGAGGGCATAATTGTCATAAGTGTGCGTGTGTGTGATGTATGTTTCCAACCCACGTCTTTCTCCTTTTTATTACCCGCTTATGATGGTTAGATTAGGGCATGTTTCAATTAGCATACAGCATGATAGCATGTTTGCATTCATTCATCTGCTTTGGCATGCACCGGGCTCGGGCGCATCATAACTAAACTGCATTGTATTTTTCAATTCCAAATTGAATACATGTTAGCTTGTAGCATTTCATATGCCATGTTAGAATAGCCGAGCCTGCTATAGTTGCATTTTGCATGTGTTGCATTAGGCATTTTTGTATAGTTAGGATCATGCATGGATTTCTAATTAGCTTCTTTTTGGCTTGAGTACTCGGTAAGTTTTATGCTTTAGCATCCTTGCATGCGCTGTGAGTGACTGCCATGAATAGAGCATGCTTACCATGAGGCTATTGCTTATGTTATTATCTGCCTGAATGCCTGTGGGTGAAGGTTGGGTTATTTGATTGGAACAAATCATTTGACTGTGAGTTTTAAGCCCACTAGATAGTGCCAAAATCATATTTCTAAGCCCACCCGAGGGTGGCAAATTCACGTCTTAGCCTACTTGCGGGTAGCACCATCAAACCATTTTCAAAAAAACAAACAGGAAATGTTTTGTTCTAATTCAGGCGATCAGTCTATACTTGAATGCTGGTTGCATCACATAGTAAATCTAGGCTAATAACCGGAATAAGAACACACAATGTTTTCAAACTAGATATCATGGTTAGTAGAGGCCGATCTTTGATCGGCGAGCGGGGGTGCTCACGAAGTGACCTTACCCAATCGTACCCAAGTTCCCAAGCCGAGGCAACTTTGGTGATGACGGACACGTGGCCTTAGCAAAAGAGTCAGGGTTTCCTAAATTTCCCAACAAATAAAAATATTTAGTGGCGACTCTATATCTGGCAAAACAGTCCATGTTTGGCTACTTCTTTTCAAAAATCTGTTTTCTCAAAACGATTTGCCAGATTTGGACTCGTTGGTTCAGATTAGAACCTGACAATTTGAGAGTCCGAGCTGTAGTGACCCCAAATGAACAGAACGGGAGCTCGTTCCTCCTGGGTGTTTCGGGGACGGTTACAGCTGTCTTCACTGCTGCTATGATAGTTGGTGAGTCTTGACGACTTCTCAGTTGTTCCGTTGTTATTCGTTCTTCTGTTTAGTTCCCTTTTTCTCATCTATTGATTTGCTTAAATTGGGTTTCTATTCTTTGTTGAATCCAAACAAGTTCCTATTTGAATTTAATGTGTGTATAAATATTGAATACATACATATATATTGTTTAAACAAATTTGTTCTCTTGTATTATATATTTGTGTGTATATGCTAAGGCTATTCTAGTTGCTTCTGTTTGCTGCATATTATAGTTCTCAAATTTTATGAATTGTTACTTCTGGGTAGAACAAATCATGCTACTATGAAGTCTTCTAGTTTTTACAACTTATAATGGAATTGGAGTTCTCTTGGTTGCATATTGTATGTATATGTGGAATGGAAAAGTGGGCGTAAGATTAGAGGAGAAAAGTTGTGTGCTTGCAATTTTTGTATAAATTTAATGTGTGTTTAGAATGGATAATAAAGAGTGAAAGGGTAATGATTATAGAGAGAGAGAGATAAGAGAGAGAGAGAGAAAATATGAGGTTATGGTAGTGATGCTTACCAGTGAGGAGTGGGTGAGGATTTGAGAAGGGAAAGAAAGAAGCAAATGTTTGTTTGCGATGTCTGTGGCTATTTGGTTATAAGGAAACAAAAGTAATTTTGGTATTCAGTCACCATAATATGCTGATGTAAGAAATTTCCATCACCTATCTAACGGCTAGTTAACAGATGGTGGTTTGTATTATTGTCAGAAAAAGTAAGGGAGGTTGCTATTATTATTAAAATCATAGGAGGTCCCTGTATTTGTCAGAAACTTCGGAGGAGATCAATGTAATTTACCCTTCTATTATTTATTATTATTATTTTGGGTCCAAAAAAAATCAACAAGGATTCTGATACATTGTTGGGCTAACTCTTTAACCAAACCTATCGACTGGCCTTATATAATTAATTAAAGGAGAAATTGAGCCACGCCCACTAAAAGCTGAAAGCAACCACAGAAGCCTTAATAGATGTGTCAATACTTAACAAGTCTTTTTTGAAAGTGTATGTTCTATTAATTCATAAATCTTTTGGGTTAGGACTTAAAAGTTTTTTATGCGCATTTTTCTTATTATCTTTCTTTGTAACTTACTTATTCTCTTATTCTTTCTCTTTTCTTGATATCCTATAACGGACATAAAACCACCGCCTCTTCTTTCTTTATTCTCTTTTCTAATCTACATTCACTACGGACATCATTGATTTGGTTCACCAGGAATCACTAGCACGACTCCTTACTTTGCGCTCATCGACAGGAAGGAGATGTAATTTCGATAAAAAAAAAATTAATCTTACATCAGATCTAAACTATATCTAAGTCAAAAATAATTGTCAGAGTTACAATTCCTCTCCTATATTGTGACTCTTTCTTCGAGTATCTCAATTTTTTTCTTTTTTTTTCTGTGCACACATTTATTTCTTTTTTAATAGAGAAAATTTTTAACTTCTGAACAAGTTATTTTAGTTTAGTTACAGCAGTTGAAAAACTGTAAATTTTACAATTTCATTTTTTTTTATGTTATAAATGAATTATGCTTTTAAAACTGCAAAATTTTGTAATTTCATACATTCTTGAACTGTAAAATTTTACAATTTTTATAACATTTTTCAGTTTGATTTAATAAGGATCAAATATTAATAGAATCATGTCTTGAAACTGCAACATTTTACAGTTTTCAAAACTACTGTTTCAATATTGATCAATATAGAAGTTAGTTTGCGAAATATCTCTCTCC